TTCATAATGCAGAGAGCCGGGGAAACTGTGTTCTCTTAATCTCGGAAGCGGGCTAGGATATCGTCCGAGAGGAAGAACATAGAATGGGGACAGCTCTAGAAGTCGGGTCTTACGAGTCAGTTTCGAAGGGACGGGGAACTGAGTACCTGGATATGGATATATGTCAGCAGTATGAAGAGGGTGCCTTGGTGTGTATCCTTCGTGGTGTCATCGACGATGGGAGAGGAGGGAACTGGGCTTGTCATGCGCTTGCCGCCCGCAACTGTGCGACTTGGGCATTTTTTAGCCAGGCGGGAGGGCCAGAGAGCCGGGTTGCCGAGAGCAGCCAGCGAGCCGCGCCGCGAGCTGCGCCGACCCGCAGCGAGCAGGGACGGACGCCCTCCCGCCGCCGCCGCCCGCCGGCTATGGATCTATTCGACTTTTTCAGGGACTGGGACTTGGAGCAGCAGTGGTAGGTGTTGATTTTTGTCTTCTCCTTTGATGAGCGGGTCCCCTGGCGGGGTTTGGGTTTTCGCCTTTGTTAAGAGGAGCTGGGGCTGTCGTGGGGGCGCCCCGGACGCCCTCCCACTTGCTCTTCGTCACCTCTAGCTCCGGGCACTGTGACTCCGTGGTCTGGGGCAGGCGTGAGGGGCAGCGCGGGAAGAGGGACAGATGCGGGGCAGAAAGGCTCGTTTTGCAGTCCAAGTCCACAGAGTTGCATTTGGCCCACATCGGATTCGGTGCCGCCCGCCTAAAGACTGAGAAGCACGACTTCCATCCGGAGACTCACTGGGTTGGCCTCCGTGCGCCCCGGATGCCGCCCGCTAAAAATGCCTCAACTTTCCAGGTGCCCATTGCCCGCGGCCGGCTGCAAGAAAAGGCAGCTGGGCAAGGGGCCACTGGCCGCCCTCTGTTTCCTCCGCGGCCGCCGCCCCCACCGCAGCTACCTCTATCCCCAAGTGGCGTGGCGCGCACACCTTCCCTTCCCCAGGATCAACCCAAGTTCTCCACACCCCAGCGATGAGTGGCAGCTTTGGGGGCCACCGCTGTGCGGACCCCGAGCTTTGACCAGCTTCTTTGCTTGCCTCTCAAGACAGGGTTTTTGAAGTTGGTCCCCGAAGTCGGGTGCTCCGATGTCAGTGAACGTTTAATTACCAGTTGGACCCATTCAGCCCCTCTGGAAGGCAGCCGTAAATTTGTGTAATGAGCACCCATGTCGGATTCAACGATTTAGTCTTGCCCTTCAAAAAAATACCCGAAACTTGGCCATGACAGATTTGGAAAAATGATGTGAAGGTGGCACGAAGTTGTTACTCTGTGATGTGCGGTGCGTTTTGATTAATACTGATACATGTATCTGTTAACTTTTTAAAAACTTCACCTTCCACTACAAACATTATCATTGTTTGTCATAACATCTTAACAGGTCAGTTTCCCACAACAACTTAAGGAATTGGGCGGGGGGTGGGGTTGGAGGGGGGCGGAGTGTCAGGAGAGAGCAGCCATAGCAATTGATAATTATGCTCTTGGTCATTGCCTTTTAAATTATAGTTAGAATAATCTATAGCACCGAGTACTAGTACGAAGTCTTTTGCAACGTTCAACTACCAACAGCTGTTGGCTATGAATGCTGTGTAGTTTTATGTGGGTTTCTCTTGTTGATGTGATATTTTAGGCAATTTCCTTCTTTAAAAAGGGTCATACACTTTGCCAATAGCTTTATTATGCCAATAATGACTCCTTTAGTTGCAAATCCAAGATAATAAGAACTTAAATGCATTTTATTTTATAGCAGTTATGGGTAAATCCTTGAAGCACAAGTTATGCTGTATCTGTACTAACCTGAAAGAGATTTTTAAAAATACCATACAGGATTTTATCCACCCTGCAGGAAAACATTACATTTAAAAAAAATAATTATGCTGTTTTTTAAAAGTAAAAGTCACAATAAAATTACTGCTCAAATAAATATTATGCTTCTTCACATAGCCTTCACTCTGCTTTTCTAATTTATTTTGCAGAAAACTGTTAAAAATAGCATTGCTATTTGCATACAATTTACCTAATATGTGGTGTGTGTAATATCATTAATTTAACATGGTTATGATTTATTCCATAGGTGTAGTTCAAATATTAGACATGTACTAGATATTAGATTTTAAAAATCTTTATTTTATTATCTTAATTCCAGTTTAACCTTATGCACATGCACTTGCATGTTTAAAAGAGATGAGCTTTTATATTGGATTTCACTTTTTCAAACTGTTATGTTCTTTCTCCCTTTAGAAGATTCTCTTTTCTTAAGGAGAATACAAAACATTTTCCCCCACAGATCCCTAACTATGCCACATTAGTTAAGAAACATGGAGATTTGAACACTGAGAGGATATTATATGAAATACTGATATATTAGTATAACATGTCTGCATAAATAAGCCTGCTTTTTTCTCTGTGCACATGATCCAGGCAAATTTTCCCTTCTACTGTTTGATTCTAAGGAGCAAGCTTCCTTATTCATCTGTGTTTATAAATCCTTGTAATGTGGCTGTGCTTCTGTGTTTTGTACACTTCCACAGAAGAAAAGAGACATAAATGTGACAACAATGCATAAACTAAAAAACGTGACATTGTCTTGTATGAATCCAAACTCTTTGGACATGCTGAGCATACCAGTTACATGTTCCTTATATGTTTACTTCTCCTCCTTGGGAATAAGTAGCTGCATAGTGATGACATCTACTCTCTCAATGATCAAGGAGGGAAGAGGCACCAGCAAAGTTAAGAATCAAGTTCATTGAACCTGTTCTTAACATTCACTTGTGGAACAGTATGCTCTGAGCTGTCTCTATTACAACCCTCGATGTCTGACAATAAGTGGATCTGGACAGCTTAAAAACAAACTCATTTTTTTCTAGACATAATGAAGAAAGACTTTATATACACAGGCATATGTGTTGTTTGCAAGCACTTGACTATAGTAAACAAAAGTGCATGCCCATTTATAAACACACATTTGTTAGGATGAGTGCAAATGGAAAGGATGGGGGTATGAATGACGCTGCAGCGTGTACGTATATGAAATGTCTGGGAGTGCTCACATGCCAAACAGAACGTATCACTCGATTTCCCAAACTGCAAGAATATCTTAATGGGTCATGCTCTGGACTCGATTAAAGGGCCAAAGCTCAAGTTCTTTAAGATTCCTGGATGAATGAGCAATGTTCACCTGAGTTTGAATTTAATACAAACCATTCTGTGAAAGAAAAGGAAGGCACAGATGTGTGCGTGCATCAAAGACATCACTTTCTTAAACAGAATAATACAAAGAAATAAAATTTAAAAATCAAATGTCATCATTCCATAGACACATTCTGTGATAACAAGGTAAAGAATTCTTGAGGTGTCTGGCGATCATGTGTCTAGACTTGGACATGTTTATCAGCAATGGCCAAGTCATTAATTCTCATTTAACAGGGGAAAATATCTTAAGACCTACAAAGTGTATGCCCTTTCAGTCCTGTATGCACCTCAGCCCTAGTATTGATTAGGAATTGCTTTATGACAGACCAAGTTTCTTTGCCAGGATGATTATCCTTTTATTAAGGAAGGAAGGAAGGAAGGAAGGAAGGAAGGAAGGAAGGAAGGAAGGAAGGAAAAGGAAGGAAGTAAATATAGCAAAGAACAAATCCTTAAAAGTAAAAAACGGAAAGAAAATCACATTATGGCAAAATGAAAATGTGAAAAAGCCAATTGACAATTGTAATAAAGTGACTGTGACAGTGGCTGCCTTTTCACTGTGAAGGATGGTATCAATTGTTTGTAGTTTTTATGTGATGTCTCACAAGTAGCATAATTAGAGGCCAGCTTGCAAATGGGCAGTTATACAGGAAGAGATTTAAACTCACTAAACCGTTATATAAATAGAAAGTTCAAAGGTCTGTGTGGAGCTGTCAAGGCTGAGAAGGGGCCATGTGCCAGCGGCAGCCCCCAGGGCCTGCCCCAGCAGCCCACACTTTCCCAGGTTTTCTGGGAGGGGGTTCCCTGCTTCCCAAAAGTGAACTGTTCAGGCTCCAACCTAGCATGGCCCATACACTGCAGCATCCTGACTGCCTCCGCCTGCTTTGCGCACACAGGTCTTCCGAGAGTCCTCGTTAGCTGCAGTCCTCCGGAAGAGCTGAGCAGGACTGTTTATGGATGGGAAGGTGTGGGAGACAGAGAAAACAAAATGTTCATTTGGCAATCTGGAGATACTAGGACTGCCATGGAGGGGGGCATTCCTTTTTGACTAAAGCCTAGAGTCTCTGAAGATTTCTCCTTCTCTGTTTCCATTCATTTATCTTCTCCCCTTTCTCTCTGTGGTCTGGTAGAAAGAAAACTGTTTGTTTTGTTTGATAGCACAATGTTTGAGCATTCATTCAGTAAACCATTTTGATCTGAGTTTCTTATGGGAATGTATGGGGAGGAGAGATTTAAGATGGTGAAATTAGCTAGTGATGAGATCTCCTCCAGAATCCCCCAAAGAAGAAAAGCTACCTCAGTAAATCTTAAAAGGCATATCTATTGGGCAAGGAAGAAAATTGTCTTATGTTAGAAATCAGTTTAATGATACATGAATTGTTTTGCTAATGATTCAGTCAGGCATTTAGCAACTTTAAAATATACAAATCAAGATTGAAAATGACTGCCACAAAAATGAATCTGTCATTATAAACATAAACAAGATTCCAAACATTTAAGCATTTTCTAGATGGATAAAAATTATATTGTATTTAAACATGCTAATTATTGTGGAATAGAAATGGCTTTAATGTGGTGAACCTTTATTTCATGTGCATTATTCTTAGCTAAGAGTACATCTTACATGCAGAATTTGTGAATATTTAGCATGATTTCAGAATTGTAGAAGGCCAATAAAATGGCCCATCTCTGGAACAATCTAGAAGCTGTACCCCTGAGAGCATATAACTTTAGGTCATACCTCAAAGAAGGAAACACCACATACTGATTACCCAATCATGTAGACAAAACAATTGCTACAGTGACTACATTCTTCACTTGTAATTTTGACTTTATTTTACTGATTATTGTGGGATAAAGAGATATTATATAATCTTGTTTGCTGGGGTAGGCATTTAGTCTAAAGGTTAAGATACCAGTTTACATGCTTACATCCCATATTGGACTACTTGTGTTCAATGCCTGGTTCCAGGTCCTGAATCCAGGTTCCTGCTAATGCAGATCCTGGGAAGCAGCAGTGATAGCTCAAGTAGCTGTGTCTCTGCCATCCATGTAGGAGACCCAGATTGAGTTCATGACTTCTGGCCTTGGCCTGGCACAGCCGCAGCCCCAGCTGTTGCAGGTATTTGGGAGTGAACAAACCAGCAGATAGGAATGCTCTCTTTCTCTCTGCCTCTCAAATAAATAATTTTTAAAGCTTGTTTACTGGTAAATAGACAGAAAAACATTGCTGAT